GTTTTTCTCACATGCTGGCGGGTGCTAGTGAAATAGGAAGCAGTTGTGACCAAAGGCCTCGCTTTGCTCAAAAATAAAAAGGGCAGAGGATTGAGTGGGAGGGCGGGGGTAAGGAGCACTTATGACAGGATAATACCTTATTCAGTGGTGCCAATTCCAGCAACCCCTTCAGTGCTGCGAACATTCCATGAACGCTCAGCTTTGGGATCGCCAGACCAAAGTCGAGGTAAACCTGATCAATTGAAAATCCCACAAGATCATAACGTCAAGAGCGGGGAAAAAAAAAAAAAAAAGTAATCATAACGTCAAGAACGACGAAGTATTGCCAACGAAGAAAAATGCTATTAAGTCCAAAAACTTTTGATCTTGAACTCATGATAACAACGCGCCGCTTATACACTGAGCTTCACCCTTCACTAACCATTTTGTGTTTTTCCAATTTCGTACTTTCGTCGTCAACGAATTTAGTGAGCACTCCAATGAACAGAAAAGCACTCAGGTAGACAGCACACAGTTCGCTCTCACTCTTATTATCTTGCCGGCCATCTGCCATCCCCCTCTTTTTTCAAAGCGCATGAAAGGACCCACGTCCAAAATGTGGCTCTCCGCCATCATTCATTTCATTTGACAGCCTTTCATAGTCCAGCCCGAGCAACCGGAATATACTCACAGTCAATCAATCAGTCAGTCAGCCAATCAATCAATCAGTCAATCAATCAATCAATCAATCAATCAATCAATCAATCAATCAATCATTCAAACTAAGCACAGAACACAAGAGGCAATAAGTGGAAGAGAGAGTATGGCAACATTTCCAGAGCCACCTTCTATGATTTTTTTATTTTTTTATTTTTTTTTACATTTTGTTGACGTGAGTTTTTAACATTTTGTTGACGTGAAATCTCAAGTACCTCTGCTGTTGTACCTGGAGAGTAGCACTTCAAAGTTATTTGCATGCAAAAGGATTTTCAAATTTTCATCTCATCAAAAAAAAAAAAGAAACAAAAAGTCACACCCTGTAGCGGTCCCCCTCCTTGCTAGGCGGCTGGGGCCTCGAGGGAGTGGCTGACCTTCTTTTTCGTCTATTCTCCCCTGACTTCTTCTGATTTTATAAACATGCTTGCCATTGATAAGCAACCAGACTGATGGCCCCCAGAATAGAAGAGCTGTGTGCGTGGTTTTTTTTTTTTGGGGGGGGGGGGGAGGCACGGGGGGGGGGAGCACTTTTTCTTTTTTTTTTTTTTTTTTTTTTTTTTGTGAAAACACATCCTCACGGCTCCGGCTCCCTATCCATTACCAGCAAGTCTGAGAAACCTTCAAAAACATGCAAGCCTACAAAAAACCTCGCGTCTCCAAAAGAATTGCCACGCTCTGAAAAACCTCAGACAGTCGGAGATGTCCACCGAGGGCACCTAATTAATATCCATTGTGCTCAGATGGATATCCCATCATACCCGTATCCATCATTCAATCTCGGACGATTGTAACAGGATGCGAGTGGACTGTTCCTTCCCTTTTTTTTTACCTTTTTTTTTTTTGGACTCAAAACTGCCGGTTGCGAATCTGTGAGATCAACACCCAGGATCGAGAGTGGTGATTGCTCAGACACAATGAATGGCCTACGGGGCCAACAGTCACAGGCCCTTCCACTCTCGAAGTCACAATGGGTCTGCAATGAAGGAGAAAGACTCAAAGACCACACTGCCTGTTTGAGGCTGTTTCACATACAATAGACCTGGATTTTACCACACGGTTGTTGGATGGGATCTGGACCAGATGGGATCTGAACCATCACACCCACGTCCACAATGGCCGACAATGCAGTGTAGAGTCTGTAGACTCCTATGATTCCTATCCTATTTCAATCCTGATCCTCCAGCTCTGCCATCACTCTCTGATGAGAATGCTCTGTTTTCACTTCAACTTAAGATCCTTCACGACGGACAAAGCAAAACTCCAAGCCATATTTGAACTCAGTGTGTCCAAAGGAGAGATGGCTAACTTAATTGAGGCCCCAAAATTCGGGGGTTTTCGCCACATCACCACAAGCAATGTCCTCGAAAATTTTGGAAACAAACAAGCAGCTGCAGCCAGCACAGCTTACGCCCGTGAAAACCGTCAGGAAGCAATCCCAATGAAGAATCTCACTTCGCTCTTTCTGTCTCTGACTCTATGTTTTCTTTGTTAGTGTATGGCTGGTGCTTTCTGTATCACTGTTTTAGCTCTTGGCGTCTTCTGTCTTTCTAAGTGTTTGTGGAAAGCAGAATAGTAAACAGCAATGGTCACAAACAGTAAGGTCATACACAGTCACAAACAGAATAGTAAACAGCAACGAATCTTCAACGATTCGAAGAACATTATCATCGTCACCGAGAAAGAGACGACTCTTTTTTTTTTCCGTTTCTCATTTGTTTTTCCTGCTACACACACCGCGTCAGAGATCCCTGGAACTTCGGGAGCTCGCACCAGTCTGACAGTACATGCGGAAAGGAGTTACCAC